TTAAATTAAAGCCATTGGTGGCTTCCCATTCATATGAACAAAGTCATCGATGGCTTTTATCTCTCGTTTAGCGATTCGTTAAAATGAAGTTATTGGTCGCTTTCCACTTATATTGACGAAGCTCGTCAATGGCTTCTAAATCTATTTAGCTATTTTGCTATCCATTAAAATTAAATTGTTAGTAGTTTTCCACTCATGTGAATGAAGCCATCATTGGTTCTAAACTTGTCTAGCTATTTTGGTGTTCCTTCAAACAAAGTTATTGATGGCTTTTTCCTTATGCGAGATGAAGCTATCAATGGCTTCCAATCTTATTTAGCTATTTTGTAATTTGTTGAAATAAAGTCATCGGTGGCATCCACTTATATGGATGAAGCCATCGGTGACTTCCGAACTTGTTTACCTATTTTGCTATTCGTTAAAACAGCGTCGTCAATGACTTCGACTTATGTAGACGAAGCCATTATGGGCTTCCAAATCGTTTTACTATTTATTGAAGCAAAATTGTCAATGACTTCTCATTTATATGGATGAAGCTACCGAAGCTTCAAAACTTGTTTTTTTTTTTTTCTATTTGTTGAAATGAAACTATTAATGGCTTTTTACTTTTGTAGATGAAATTATTAGTGGTTTTCAAATATTTTTAAATGACTTGTTGTTCATTGAAACGAAGTCGTCGATGGCTTTCAAACATTTTTAGTCGACTTATTGTTCGTTGAAATTAAGCCATCAATGGCTTCCTATTTATGTGAACGAAGTCGCTAAGTGGCTTCTACTAATTTTTAAATGACTTGTTATTTGTTAAAACAAAGCCATTAGTGGCTTTCCTCTTATTAGGACGAAGCCATTAATGGCTTTTAAATATTCAAAATGAATTGTTGTTGTGTGAATTGAATCCGTTGATGGTTTTCTATTTGTGCACAAAATTGTTGACGGTTTCCTAAATTTATGAACTAAAGTTGTTAGTGATTTTCATTTATGTGGATAAAGTTGTCATGGACTTTCTATTCATGTCAATATGGGCTTCCAATCCTTAGAAACTCACTTATTAGTTGATATAGATTTGCAATCACTAAGGACTAGCTAAAATTTCAATTACTATCCCCATTTCTCCTTAGAGTATGGGTATATACTTTTGATTAGCCTAAACCCTAAACTACTTGATCATTTTATTCCAATAAAACAAATTCACTTATGTTGGAAAAAAAAGTCATAATATATTAAAACCGAGACCTTGATTTTCACAAGCATAAAATATAGTCTACCTCATATAGGAAGGGAAGGTGGTGATGTTGATCTTTCCCATATATAACCGATTCCTTACCCATATATCTATGCGGACTCATTTGTTTTAGGATTTTCTAGTTTTCTACGATAGTTAAGTGGTAACTGCATAGTCTATGGGCCCTATGTACAAATAGTAAGGAGTATTAATCCCTTTGAAGACTTGTCTACACTCTTCTCTATCAATTTGATAGAGAACAGTGTTGGACCCTATCAGTTCAGCCAAAGCAGATCTGCCTCCGTTTGCAGTAGGGTCGAACCAGCTGGAAACACAAGTATCATTGACTACCTCTTGGCCCCCAAGGAAAAAAAAAATGTCTCTAAGCTGATAGGACTTATCCGTCAAAAGTTCATGCAAATTTTATGGTATAATTTTTTACAGTTGCTGCCATACAAGAATGGTTTTCTGTTTGGTCCATGTTTTTGGACTCTGGTTTTTCAACTTATTTGAAGAGAGACGATTAAGTAGAATTAAATACATCCATTTAGTTATCGAAAGGACATAATATGGCCAAAATTGCAAATTATTGAGTTAATTTCCCTTATTCTTGGATGTTTATGAGGAATATCAAAACAATAATTTTGAAGTAATCTGCTTTTAACTTGACATGACTCATTCGAATATCAAGAACAATAATTTTGAAGGAATCTGCTTTTAACTTGCCATGACTAATTCTCCCTCGCTTATTAGATTATGTGGAATTCAGCAAGAAAGGAGAAAACATAAGTAAAAAACTATAAAAATATTAATTACAAAAACCTTTTTTGAAACAAAATAATATTAATTTAATCATAATCATCATTGATTATTTAAATAAACTAATTTATATGAACTAATTTATAGATTACTTTCAAATTTAGGGGTGACCCTATAATTTGTAGGTTTGTTTCCTTTCCTTCCTCTTTTTTCCACAATAATGGCCACTGCATGATTGCTTATTGTCAGAAATGAGGAACATGATCAATACCTCTTTGGGTATATGCTAAAAAAAGAAAAGGCAGCTTTAACAAAGTAGCTCTAACTCAGCCACTTTATTTATTCTACCACTGGTGGCACCAAAATTATTCTAATTTCCAATGTTTGGAATATGGTTTCTATTAACAATTGCTAAACAAACTCCACTTGCAGCTATTAGGATTGACTCAACTACTGCACCATAACAGTTATCACATTGTAAGGATATACTCTAGCAAGATAGATACCTACATAATGACAAACTCATCTAGTTCTATATATATATATATATGTATCTACAGTTCAAAACTACAAAAATAGAAAAACTACAAATTATAGACTCGTCTCTGTTACTTTCAACATGGTATCAAGAGCTTAAGTTGTGATCCCTTCTTTTTCCTTTTCTTTTTTTTCACTCTCCTCTTTTCCCTTATGTTCTTGTCTCTTCTTTTTCACGCCACCAATGACTACTCTTGCTGTCTCCTCTTCATAAACAACTCCAGCTTTGGAAACAACTTCTTCTCCGTCTACTGCTCATCATACCTTTTCTGTCAAACTCAACACTAAGAACTATCTAGCTTGGAAAGCCCAATTCCTTCCTCTTCTCAATTACCAAAACCTAATTGGTTTCATTGATGGCACGACTACTGCTCCACCCAAGACAATCACCTCCTCTGATGAACCACCCGTCACCTTCCCTAACCCAGCTTATCACAACTGGTTTCAAAAGGACCAGATGTTGCACTCATGGCTCCTCTCTTCTCTCACTGAGGACATGTTCTCTTATGTTATTGATCTAACCTCTTCTTTTCAGGTCTGGACTGCCTTGGCTAGTGCCTTTGGCTCCATCTCCCAAAATCGCCAACTCCAGTTTCACATATCGTTACAAGAGCTCAAGAAAAATGACCTCTCTCTGTGCATGACTATCTTCACAAAGAAAAATCATTGGCTGATGAACTAGCCACAGCGGGGCGAAGGATGACAACAGTCGAATTTAACGCGATCATCTATCGCAATATTGGAACAGAGTATCACAACATTATTACGGCTTTGAACTTGTGAGCTGAACCAGTACCCTTCCATGAGTTACATGGCCATCTGGGGGCTCACGAAATCTTACTCAAAAGCACTTATGAGAGCCCCATGGCTCATCTTGCAACCCGTTGTCCGCCACTCCTGCCCACGCCAACACTATCAGCCTTTCCTAGACCCATGCAATCTCATTCCAACAATTATCGCAGGAACAGGGGACCATGCCAGATCTGTAATATGCGTAACCACACTGTTGATCGTTGTCGTCGTCGATATTCCACTAGGCCAGTTTCTCATCCTCAAGCCAATGCAGTCTTTGGGACACACATAAGGATGCCATCACTTGCATCTGTGCCAGAATCCTTCCATGAATATCACTCTATGTCCCCTGCTCACATCCAGCCCACTGCTTTCCATGCTGCAGGCAACTCATCTCAACCATGGTATCTTGACACAGGAGCTTCCCATCACATCACTCCAGACCTGTCTGCCTTAAGTATTGCTACCAATTACAAAGGCACTGATCAGCTAAGTGTTGCAAATGGACAAGGTTTGCATATCTCTCACTCTGGCACTTCCTATATCTACACACCAAATAAAAAGTTTGCGTTAAATAATGTTCTTCACGTCCCACACATTACAAAACCACTTTTGTCCATTAAAAAATTTGCATCTGACAGCCATTGTTATTTTGAATTTTGGCCAAAACATTTTCTTATCAAGGACCAGGTGACCAAGGCAACCCTATCTCACGGCCCGAGTGAACATGGTTTGTATCCTATGACTGGTGAAGCATTGGAACCAAAAGTTGCTTGTCATGGTGAACTCCTCCCCTTGGAACAGTGGCATGCACGTATGGGTCACCCCCAGCTCCGTACAGTTCATAGGATTCTCAAAGACAATCAACTATCATCACTACCATCTCCTGCTTTCAAATGCTCATCCTGTCACCTAGGCAAGCTTGCGCGAATTCCCTTGCTTCAGTTGCACACAAGAGCACAAAACCATTTCAAATAATTTACTCCAATGTTTGGGGTCCTGCACCAACTCATTCCTCTTTAGGTCATAGGTATTGTCTCCTGTTCATTGATGAGTTTACCAAATACACTTGGATTTACTTCCTCAAGAACAAAAGTGATGTATTTTCCAGTTTTCAGCATTTTAATGCATATGTTGATCGTCAGTTTAATACCAAAATCTTAGCATTTCACTCTGATTGGGGTGGTGAGTATCAAAAACTAAACAAACTCTTCAAAAACCTTAGAATCACTCACAGAATTGCTTGCCCATATACTCATGAACAAAATGGAATTTCAGAAAGAAAAATACGCCATTTAGTAGACACTAGCCTTACCCTTCTAGCCCATGCATCCATTCCCTTAAAGTTTTAGAATTATGCATTTGATACAGCAACATCCCTCATTAATCAACTACCTAGCCCGATTCTTCAAAATACAACTCCTTACCAAAAACTCTTTGCAAAGCTACCATCTGTTGCACCCCTCAAAACCTTTGGTTGTGCCATTTACCCACTGCTTAGACCATACAACTCCAACAAATTCTCTCATCGCACAACAGAGTGTGTAAATCTTGGCCTCTCCCCCTCTCATCAAGGATATCGCTGCCTAGACATTAAAACAGGACGCATCTACATTGCACGACACTTGAAATTCAATGAGAAAATCTTTCCCTATGCTACTGTCCACATGAATAAATATGCAGGAAATAACTATGACAAGCAGCATTGGCTCCAAATCACCACTGAAATACCAGCACACTCGAGCCCATCTATGTCAGGTAACCATTTCTCACCCTCATCTCCACAACACCCTACTGCACCCTTAACAAACTCTGAAAATCATACTACAACAAAAATCTTTCACTTCACAGCCACTTCCCCAGATCAGCCAAGCAAACCTCCAGTTCCCCACCAACACATCAATCCCACATCCTTAAACTCCTCCCATACGTCACCTACCATAAACCTCACTGTGGACCTCACCCAATATTCCACTGCCCAAAATAGCACCAATAACGCAAACACCAATCCCACCCACACTCATCCTATGAAACTAAGACCCATTCCTCACCCTCGCAAGTTCGCCCATGCCATCCTCACCACCTCCAAATCAATAAACTACCTCCATACAGAACCCACTTCATACTGTCAAGCCAAAAACCATAAGGAATGGCGAAATGCTATGAGTGATGAGATTAATGCTCTTATCTCCAACAGAACCTGGACCTTGGTACCACGACCAACCCACCAGAACATAGTAGGAAACAAATGGGTGTTTCGTATAAAACGAACATCCACTGGTGCCATAGAACGGTACAAGGCAAGGCTAGTTGCAAAAGGATACAACCAACAGTCAGGAGTGGACTACACTGAGACCTTCAGTCCGATCATTAAAGCCACCACTATAAGGACTATACTCTCCATTGCCATAGTCCACAGCTGGTCTCTACGCCAACTGGACATTTCGAATGCCTTCCTTCATGGTCATCTACAGGAAAAGGTCTTCATGGAACAACCACAAGGACACATTGATCCCAGCCATCCAGACCATGTATGCCTCCTGCATCGATCCCTTTATGGTCTAAAACAGGCTCCACGGGCATGGTTCAGCAGACTGAGCACCTTTTTGGAAGGAAATGGATTTAAGGCATCTAAAGCTGACACCTCATTATTCATATAACATATTGGCAATGAAAAAATTTTTATACTTGTGTATGTTGATGATCTTATTGTAATAGGCTCCAGCTCTCATATGGTAGAAGCCATCATCAGCCAGCTTAATTCAGAATTCCCAATTCGTGACCTTGGCATACTACACTACTTCCTGGGTGTTGAAGTTCATAACTTAGCAACTGGCAAACTCTTAACACAACAAAAATACACAGAAGACCTGCTCATGAAGTCAAGCATGGCCGATTCCAAAGCATGCCTTACTCTTATGGCCACTTCACCAAATCTGTCAAAGAGTGATGGAACACTGCTTCCAGATGGAGAGGCCTACAGACAGTTGCTTGGTGGGTTACAATACTTAACAATGACTAGGCCAGACATCTCTTTCTCTATTAATAGACTATGCCAGTTCATGCACTCACCCACGGATGAACACTGGAAAGCACTGAAGCGATTAATGAGATACCTACGCCACACAACATCTATGGGATTGTTCCTTCGCAAATCATCAGACCTCCAGCCTCATTGTTACTCTGACAACGATTGGGCTGGCTGTCCCGATGGCAGGCGATCAACCAGTGGCTATGCCATTTATCTGGGCAGCAACCTTGTGTCCTAGTCTGCTAAGAAACATCCCACAATAGCGAGGTCCTCTACTGAAAGTGAGTACAAAGCTATTGCAAACACTGCAGCAGAGTTTGTTTGGTTACGTTCCCTACTCACAGAACTAGGCTACCCATGCACCAAACCTGCAAAACTATGGTGTGACAATTTGGGGGCAATATATCTCTCTACAAATCCAAAATTTCATGCTCGCACAAAGCATATTGAACCGGACTATCACTTTGTCCGGGAACTTGTTGCTGCTAGTACACTTCAAATAAATTTCCTCTCTACAAATGATCAAATTGCAGACATATTCACCAAGCCACTTGCAGCTCGACGACACCAAGTTTTAAGGGACAAGCTATGCCTACTGCCTCTCCCGTGCAAGGGCTTGAAGAGGGGTGTTAGGATTGACTCAACTACTGCACCATAACAGTTATCACATTGTAAAGATATACTCTAGCAAGATAGATACCTATATAATGACAAACTCATCTAGTTCTATATATATATATATATATATGTATCTACAGTTCAAAACTACAAAAATAGAAAAACTACAAATTATAGACTCGTCTCTGTTACTTTCAACAGCAGCAAGGTGAAAATGTCATTTTCCTGCTTTGATAACCATCTCTGTCTTTATGGTTCAGGCCATTTAGGCGTCCATTTTAGTACACATTCTTTCATTGATAAGCTTCTCTGTCGATCCTAATGTTTCAGCGACACTTATTGGTTGAAAAACATAAAAGTTGTTGATAAAGTTTATGAATAAAGATAAATTGAACTAAAATTTATGTATAGATGCAAACCATAAAAGTACAAACTAAATGTTTCTTTATTTATAGAGAAATATTAAATTAATGGCATTAATTACATTAAGTTAGAGTAATTAAGAATATTAAATTATGGGATATTACCAGTATATTGATGGATGATAGAATCATTGTTAAGAAGATGGTACAATATGTATATTTTAGACTTCGAGGCCTAAACAGCTCTAGAAAGAGAAACGATTAAGTAGATTTAGTCTACTAATACTACTATATCATTTATAGAATTTGGTCCAATTACACAGGACCAATTGGAAAATGTTTATATATATATATATATAATAACTATTAACTATTATAAATTATTGGCCACCTAATTATGATATAATTGAAGGAAAAGTTTGAAGTTTGAAATTATCTATTTATTATTTAATATTGTTGTTATTATTATTTGTCTTAATATTAACTGTATTCTCGAACTGTTTGTTTTTTAATGATCTAAACTTAAGATTGATCCTGATTTACTTTTAAACAAGCCATTTACACCTAAAATAATACATTTAAAAAAAAAAGACCCGCAACCAGAAACGACGGTTCACCAACTTCATCACCAATCTCCTGACTTAATTCATTCTCTTATTGGAAAGAAACATAAAGGATAAACATTAACTAAAAACACATCACCCACATGTTGCTATTAAAATAGATGGTACTTGCACCAATATTCACAAAACATTCACCTAGGAGGATCTCAATTTGTAGATGCTCTAGTCAGAGTCTGTTGTAAAATTAGAAGAAAAAAAAAAAAAACCCATTTGTGCTCATGAGAAAGACAATTATACCCTTAACTTCATGCAAGTTGACAATTTATATTACTATATAAAGGATAACACAATATACATATAATAGGTTCTGCTTTCTATACTCTATATACTTATAAAATAGTAGCAGCAAAACACCATGCTAAGCCTATTCAAACCAAATTCGCTAAAAATATATATATATTTACACCGAATCAAGTTAAACATATCTCTTCGTATGCTAATTTAGTCATTTAAGGGTCCTTCAAACATTAGAGAAAAACTTTATTCTACACGTATACGCAATAGAACTCCAAGATGAAAACTAGTATATACCTTAAGATCAGTAAAATATATATATATATATATATATATATAAACAATTCATGGATCATGACCTCATCAGGAATATATGTGCATTAAGCACAAACAACCATTTTACAAGGTTTTAGATAAGCTTGCCTATAGGTTGTGATGTAACAAAAGCTGGCAATTGGATCAAATTGGATAAAATCTGAGAATAACTTGACCAAATTTAAAATAGATAAGTAAAGTTGAATAATTGCGACAAACATATAGATAAATCGAGCAACGAATAAAAATCAGCCACATATGGAAATGGGTTCATCCTGTCGGGGAATAATCAAAGCAAATACTGGGCCAACAAAGTAAAGCATCTGTTTTCATCCATGACAATTCATTGACAATCAATACCGAAAGAAAAGTTGCAATCTTTTGCTTTAAAAATTTCCACGATAAAAAGAGTTTAACCCCTCTTCTTTTGTACTAGATGTTTTTATTGATAACAAATTGACCAAATTTAAAATAGATAAGTAAAATTGAATAATTGCGACAAAATCGAGCAATGAATAAAAATCATCCACATATGGAAATGGGTTCATCCTGTCAGGGAAGGTGAAGCATCTTTTTTCATCCACGACAATTAATTGACAAGCAATACGGAAAGAGAAGTTGCTATCTTTTGCTTTAAAAATTTCTACGCTAAAAAAAGTTTAACCCCTCTTCTTTTGGACTAAATGTTTTTATTTAGAATTCTAATTCCATCACGTTAACGTGATAGTGCTGGTCTAGGATGGATGACTTATGTGAATCAATTATATCTGAAAAAAGTTTGATAAATCGAGCAATGAATAAAAATCATCCGCATATGGAAATGGGTTCATCCGGTCGGGCAATAATTAACAAAGGCATCTTTTTTCCTCTATGACGATTAATTGACAAGCACTGCCAAAAGACAAGCTGCTATCTTTTGCTTTAAAAATTTCTACCATTTTTTTTTTTTTTGGTTTTTCTCTCAAATATCATTATTCGAATAAAACAACAAGATTTAACCTATTTTAATAAGTACAACTTATGGATTCTAACTCTGTACATTAATAAAAAATTTGTCTTAGTTTGCTTATTATTGGACCAATAATTTGTTGGTTAGTCTAAAAAAAGGTTTAACCCCCTTCTTTTGTACTATATGTTTTTATTTAGAATTCTAGTTTCATCACTTTATTAAGATAGTGCTGATCAAAGACCGATGACTTGTCTGATTAATTAGCTTATATATATATAATAGTATTATTTTATTTGAAAAATTAAAGTTTGCTGCCTTGGCCCGTGCTTTATCACTTCACTAGTTTATTGCCTCTTTTCGCTTCCAATATTGCTATTTTAGCTTTCTTTTTTCGTTTGGAGGCATTTATAGTCTCCTTTTGGACTTGTTTTTTAGTTCTTAATGATATTTTTTCTCCTCTCGTTTAATAAAGAAAGAAGAAGAATAGTTTTATACCCACCAATTAATAACATACAATTCATATACATATCAAAAATTCAAAAGTTTAAATTGTTACTAATTTTAAGAAACAATTTGAGCTAGCTTAGACTCGTTTTTCTAGATTCATGATCTAGAAGTATTACATTCGTTAATAGGCTTCTAGACAAGCTTATCCTGAGATTTATGAATATTTATCACGAGATAACAATTTGAAAATATCAGATTTAGGGGGAAAAAAATAAAGTTCGTATAAGATATCATAAATAAACTAATTTTCCAAGTTGCTAATTTTTAATTCTAAATCTTTTATTTTCAAATTATTATCTCCTACCAATTATTAAATATGAATAGATGAAAGTTTAAGCTAAGCTCATTCGGAGTTTGATTAATCAATTTAAGCAAATTAACTTACGGTACCCTCGACTTAGAACCTAAATATGTGAAGAGTATCATCGGCATTGCCTCACTTTCTTAATGCAATGAACGTGAGACTCTAAGCCTTTCGTCGTTATTTGCTTAAATATTTATCAATTTACGTGGAAGAACATTTAATTTATACATCTAGGTCCATTCTTAATTAAATTCGGGTAAGAAATTTTACTAAATTAAGTTAATAATCACCACAACTTAATAATTTATTTAGACTTTCTTCAAACATTTTTTAAAAATATAGTTATGAAAACAACGTTTCTAAATATATGTAATGTTTATGAAAACATACATATGTAAGACATGTTGTTCTCAAACATATTAATTATTTTAAAACCACTTTAGGTCTAAATCCATCTTCATTTAATTCTTTTCTCTTAAAATACTTCTGAATAATCTTTCTAAATATTAAATAATCCATTTAACTTTTATTAATTATTAAGCCAATTCAACATGTATAACATTATTACACAAGTAATTTTTTAGAAACATTCAGATTTCTAAAATAAATTTATTACTTAGAAATTCTATGGTATTTAATTAAACTCTTTGTATTTTAATCCTTGTCCTAAGGAAAACTAAATAATTCACCTAATCTTTTGAAAACTACTTTAGTTTAGAATTTGCCCTATCGATTTAATTAATTTGTACTAATTAAAACCATTTAATATTTTTAGTCATTGGCCCTTTGTTAGTTTGACTTCTAATTTATATTTAATTAACTTAATTCCTTGTCTAATTAGTAATTTACTTGCCAAACCAACTAATTAATAAATATCTAGAAATATTTATACCACTCTCTAGAATTCTTTACATTTCTCTTCATTTCTCCTTGATTTTCCTTTTGATACTTTATCTTATTTTCTCTTCTTTTGGCCGACTTAACTCATCCCTCTTTTTCTCTTTATTTCAGCTTAAATACGGTTAAAATTGATAAATTTTATCTGAATTAATTAGTCCCTCAATTTACAAAAATCTCAAATTTTAGTCTCTAAACTTTTTAATTGGTTCAATCAGATCCTTCAATTTCAATCCCTAAACCTTCAATTTTCCACATTCAAATCCTTAATCCATGCTTTTCCTAGTTTATAATGATCAATTGAATTTTTTAATTATTTTAATCAAGTACCTATTCTTTTAATTGTAGCAATTGAACCTCCTAAAATCTTGCAATTACACCCTTAAATTATAACAATCATAACAATGAATATTATGACTTACTAATTCAAACATTAAATAATTTATTCACCTCTCATAATATTCTTGCATACATTAATTTATTTTCTATACAAGCATAAAATATTAATTCCTTTCTTAAATAAATATTCATATATTAAATAATAAATTAATTATTCCTACAACATATTTATACTTAGAGAGATTTTACATAACTTCTAGATGAGCCTAAACCAAAGCTAAGGCTATAAAATGTAAAAGAGTTGTTTTCAAGTTTCGGGCCTTATGCAAGCCATCAACATAAGTAATTTAATCAAAGAATTATCTTAATTCAAAAATTTAAATTGTTTGGTGAGGCCATGGAAATTATTTATATTACTTTCTAACATGCTCACTCAAATGAAACTCTTTGGGCTTAAAATTTATACAAATGCACACTAGCTATCTTATGCTTGTTTTTTTTTTTTTTATTAATTAAAAGAGAAAATGATAATGGTAAAATTCAAAGCCTTGACCTTTTGTAACGACCATAGCCCAACAAGGAGCCAAAAGTGATATTGTGCTATCTCACACTCGAGGGTATAAGGCAATGCATTATGTCTTCTACCTTAGATCTCTATCACATTACACAACATAATTCTTTGTTCAGTTTAAAGTTCGAGGATTCCTAAAATTTAACATTTATGACTAATAATTTTTTGCAACCTAAACCATTTATAAACATTTGACACAACCTTATTTTCATCCTTGGATTAAAACTAACAAGTGCACAAACCTAAAGCCATTCACTTGTTAAACTAACTTAATATCTTTTCCATAATTGCATCAATGCATCTTTAAATAGATAAGTTCATCCACATATTCAAAATGGATATAAACATTTCATTATCCTTTAATCTCATTAATATATCTATAAACATATCCAAAATGACTTAAAGTTATCATTTACAACTCAAAATGACTCGAAACCTAGCAATGGTTTAACC